GCCCTTTTAGAACTCTCTGCCTGCACCCCCCCGCATTTCTAACTCCGTTAAATATAACTCTTAATTGTATTGATATGAATGTTCCTAAATATCTGGCACATCACACAATTGTTTGGAAGGCCAATGTGAGAGTTAAGTTCAATCTGAACTGTACACAAAGAAGGTCAAACCGAGGTTCATATTATGTGATGCTGCTCTTGAAAAATATTACCAGGTTCGTGCTTGCCAGGGACTGGCTTGAAGGAGTGCCCCATGTTGCGAGGAGAGGTGTAGTCCTATGGCAGGAGGAGGCATAGGTGTGTGGGTTTCCTTCCAGGGAGCCTGCTTTGTCCTGTCTCTTGGCCTCTTAAATCTTGGAATGGAGCTCTTCATCTCAAAATCTCCTGTTTGCATCCTCCTATCGGGTTATCTGCTGGGCTGCTAGCGATGGGGGGGCATCTCTGCTCCTTGTTGCGCACAGAGGGCATTATGGCACTTTGAAAAGCTCCTGGTGCTGCAGCGCATGCATTTGTATAAACAGCAAAATGCGCGGTAGCACCGAGCAAATCGTGACGGCGCGCTTTTGAACTGAAACGCATCGCAGGTGTTTTAGTTCAAAAGCACACCACCACCATTTTCCCGGCGCCGATGCACGCTTTGCCATTTATACATGTGCATTTGACGCAGCACTGGGCACATCAACTCGCGTGCAGAGCAGACTCTATATCAAGTCTGCTCCGACGTGCTGAATCTCCAACTCCTTGGAGCAGACAAATGTATGTGTATAAATGTCTCAGGATCTCATTGAAAGTGTCCAAGCTGTCTTATGTCTCCAGCACAGAGGCATTCGAGCTGTGTCTGCAGACCAGGGAAGGCTGGATTGTGTTCACAGGTTTACAGTCAAGGTTCTCTATGCTAGTCTTCAAACTCAATTTAAAATTTGAATGCAGGCTCGATTCTGCAGAAATTGCTGCTTCTGTACTTCCTATGCTGGGAAGTAGGTGAGTGGAAGTTTTAGGTCCCCAAAACCCAAAAAGACTGCATTCCAAAGACTGGAAAGGGCCTCAAACACATCCTGCATCCTGTGGGGTATTCATCACACCCTGTGTCTTTCTAATATTAAAACATTTAAATATATGGAGAACATCCCATAGTGGTAATGTTGAAAAATGCACTTGCTTGAGAACGTGACTATTTAGATATTGTTATATGTGGTAGGAATACTTTTTCATTCCTTGCATACATGGACTCTGACATGCTCACATTTATGTGCATGAAGTCAGTATACTTTCCAAAGAAAGATGTACTTTCTAGGGTGTGGCTTCCATGGCGGGGGGTGCTAAACAGGGTACTTAAAATGGGGTACTTAAAGTCTACTTGCTTGTTTCATTAAGTGATTGCATTGTATCTTTACTTTTTATACTCATAAATAGGATGGGCTTATATATTTTCTGGTACTATTTTGCTCCTTCTTTCCCCAATTTCTCCAGTTTATAAAATAATTAAAGACCATGCAATTGAATGGTTCTCTTCTCACTCAATAGGTGTATGCCATTTCCATTAATGCTAACGGCAATTTAATCAAGGAACCCTTAAGGCCCTCCTAACTGTTCAGTGGAAACAGGAACTGGTCGCACATATTATTAGAACCAAAACACATTTTGTCCGTTCCCTGTAATACAGATATGGGTCTGAAGGCAGTTACTCTTTACAAATGAGGTGATAGGCATGTTTTATTAGTAAAATCTCACATAATTCATTAAAAAGCTGTAAATGTATCACCATATGGTTTGAGAATATGATAGGTTAGAAAGAGAACCTTTAAAAAAAATCCCCCAGTTGTTGAACTGATAAATATATAGTATATTGTTAAAGTTTATTAGAATACTTAGCCTGAATATCTGTTAAATTCTCTTCGTTATACTATCAACATTTAAAAATACAGGCATGGCTGGGAATTCAAATAAAAGGGCAGTGGACTTTGCTTTGTGTTGCCTCTCTTTGGCTTACTGAAGGTTCATACCATCCATTTGCTGCAGTGATTGAATTACATCTTTATCCATAAGGAGAGCAGAGACTATACACAGAAGAATGCCTAGTGATGCACTTAAGGTTTTTGTTGCAGTCTCATCAGGCATTGTGGTGCCTGCCTAGATTTCATATGACATACAAAACTCTTCTTGTTTAGATGCCTTGCACTCGCTTCCTTTTTGAAAGGGAATTTGTCCACCGTCAGTGTTTTCAGGGTGGTAACTGAACAATAAGAAAAGATCGGAAGCCATAAAAGGGCGACTGTATATTTAAAAGCAAGGAGAGGGAAGAAATGTGCAGAATAATTGCAGAAGACGGAATGTAGACTGCCGGTTCTGGTTTTTATCTAAGACCCCATTTAGCAAATAAGAATATGGGCCTGATACTTCACTCAGTGCTCAGTCAAAACTTATTGACATCAGCAAAGATTTTTCCTGAGTAGGAGAAATGGCAGGATATGACCTGGTATGGACGTAGGAATGTCGGTTCTGTATATCAGTCTGAACCTAACTCTTTTTTTTTTCAGTGTACATGAATTATTTTAGCAGAACAGAATGTTCCTTCTTAGAGGGAAACAGATTTAGACCATTGCTTTTCTGCCCAGAGTTGTGGGGGTTGCTGCAGGCAGGTCTTGTTGCCCTCCTGGCCAGGATGCCAGGCGGTTAACCAGGAGCTTGTCTCAGTGCCTTCACCAGGCTTTCAGGCCCAGATCTTCAAAGGCACCAAAATCCCTGTGAGGGCCCGGCTATAGTGATAGCCTAAAATTGATCTGTGTCCCAGCACTGTTTGTCCTGTCCCCAAAATGCAGTATAGTTGCACCACTCCGGTGACACAAAAGAGCCACAAAGTCACCCTAACTGGGCAACCAAAATCTCCCCTGGCGAGGACGAATGCTCTGGTCGCAGGCCTGGAGCGCAGTTGAAGCTGCTTCCTTTTTTTAGACCCCTGTCTGCTAGGGTCCTGCATCAGAGCCTGGGTCTTATATTATTTCTGACCCAGCTATTTCAGGAGGACCGTTGCCCATGTGAATATAGCTGCTGCTGAGAGGAGAATGACTTCTCTGAGGGGCAATCAAAGCAGAATGCAGCTTGTGTTGGGAGGATGGGGAAAGCTACTGGAGAACTTGGCAAAGTTGGCTCTAGAGCAGGGATAGGCAACCCCCGGCATGCATGCCAGTTAGTGGCGTGCGGAGACGTTTTCCCCAGCATGCCAGGGAAAAATTTTTTTTTTAAGTTGCTGCTCCAGAGCAGCCACAGATCCCAGCGCCGCAGCAGGCATTGGGGGCAAAGGCGAGATGGCCGCACGGGCTCAGACTGCAATGGGCGGGGGTGCCCTGTGGCACCCAAGGGGGGACCCGGCTTGCACAGTTCTGCAGGGATGGGCCATGGCCACCCTGCCCACGAGGGTATGCCGTCTGGCTGGGGCAGGACGCTGGGCTCAGGGGGCTCCCACCTCCGGGCTTAGCCTCGCTGCGTGCCGGGCACAGTGTGAGCGGGCTGGAGCCTCCCCCAGAGCAAGGGCCTGGCCGCAGGAGCCCCTGGACCCCCGAAACAGCCGCCGTGGCTGCCCCGGCCTGCCCAGACCCTGGCCTTGCAGCTTCCCTCCAGGGTCCGGGGCCAGGGCAGAGCTGCTGTGCTGCAGGCTCCCAGCCGCCTCGGCCCCGGAGCACCCCCAAGCACCCTGGCCATGGCGGCTGATGCTGGGGTGTCGCTGCTTCCCTCAGCCAGACACTACCCTCGACCGGTGGGCCCGACCCGCAGTGTGTGGGAGATGTAAGCGGCAAAGGGCACCCCGTCTTTCTCTTTTTCCTTTTTTTCTCTCTTCTTTCTTTTCCCTTTTTTCTTTTTTTCTCTCCTTTTTTCTTTCTCTCTCCCCTCTTTTCTTCTCCTTTTTTCTTTTTCTTTTTTCTTTCTTTACCTCTTTGTCTCAT